CAGCTCCGCGCTCCCCCTCCCCTACCGCCGGGCATTCCCGGCCGGTAGCCCCCATGGCCACCAAAATCGACAAGGAGGCGTGCAGGGAGGCGTACAACCTCGTCAGGGACGATGCCACCGAGGTGAACTGGTAGGTGGCCCCCGGCATCTCCCTGTGATTCCCCTTCTCCTCTCTCCTCTCCCGAAAGGGTGACTTCTAGAGACCTTATTCCCCTTCTCCTCTCTCCCCCCCCCTGCCCTTCCTCAAGGATGTTATTTTCTACAGTATGTTCTTCCCCATCTCCTCTTTTCCCTTCCTAAAGGCTGACTGTTAAATGTATTACTCTCCTTCCCTTTTCCCCTTCCCGAAGGGTGACTTTTAAATGTATTCTTCTCCTTTTCCCCTTCCCAAAGGGTGACTTTCAAATGTATTATTCCCTTTTTCTCCTTCCCAACGGGTGACTCTTAAACGTATTATTCCCCTTTTCTTTTCCCCTCCCCGAAGGGTGACTTTTAAATACAATGGCTCTACAATCGTCCCTGGAGACCAAGGGGTAGACTATGAAACCTTTAAGAGGAAGTGCACAGGTAAGCTCCGTCTCGATTGCTTTGGCACCTTACCCTGTTTCCCGCTGCCCGGTGCGAGGGGGGGGATCAGGATGGGAGAAAACTTGGGTAAAGTGGAATTAGTGCTGCTGCTGCCCCGAGCCTGCCCTGCCCTGCGCCACCGGGTCTCCAGCCACCAAGGAGTGCAACTCGCTCAAGTCCGTGGTCCAGCCGGTCCTTTGTCTCACCCTTAGACTTAAGGTCCTTTGGGCTTTTTTTTTTTCCCCTCCTTTGCACAATTTTTCATTGCTTCTTGGTTCTAAAGGAGATAAAACGCTTGATTAGCAGCGGTCTCCTTGCTTAGTGCTGCAGTTTCGAAGCGTCGCTGGAGAGCAAAACAGACTCAATGTTTTGTGGCTAAAAGAATGCAGTCATACAGATCATTTTGCAATAAAATCCTCCTGTAACTTGTATTCCTAGCGCTGAATGTAACGGCAGTTAGGCAGCTTGCTGGGATTTTTGAAGAGTATGAAACCTGAGGAGAGGGTGGTTATGGCAGAGATTGGCTCAAACAATACAGCGCTGCAAACAATCGTGCGTGTGGCGTGGCACCACCGCTCCAGTTGCGGCTCCGGGTTTAAACGTGGCAGCTCCTTGTTCCAACTCTGGGTCGTCGAACATTAACACGAGAAACAAAGCCTGGGGAAAATGGAAATGAATTGAGGAATATTTCATTTCATCCGATCTTAACAACTTTTTACGTGTTTTACAAAAGCGGGATCTGACCTCTCTCAGAATAACTTATAGGGGGAAATGGTAGGGCTTTGCCTCATATCTTGGCTGCTATTTAACAATGTCACCAGGTGGCACGAGATAAGAAGCATTTGTAACTAATGCTGGACTATAACAAAGTCTTCCTCGCTCATCTAGTTACTCTACAATCGAGCGTTATGGTTAACCTGTATTTTTTAGAGTTAGGTATCTGTACTGTGCAGGAGTTGTGTGTTGAGCAGTCTCTCCCTTCTCAAGGTGGGGCGAGTCCCGGAGGCACTGGAGTCAGAGTCCCACAGCTATTGAAACACCCATCGCTGTCCAAATCCCTCTGCCAAGTCCCAGGGCTTGGCTCTATTGTACGGAGTCGGAGGGGAGAACTTCCAGTAACTTAAATGAGGGCAGGACTGGTCTGATCAGTCAATAAATATCACAGGAGAGAAATACGTTTTAGTCCCTGGAAAGCAGCCACTAAATCAAGACGGTTTAGGCTGCTCTGCCACGACATTTGCAGTGGGGAATTACTGGGATTAACACAGCTACTCATTTCCAGCTGTTCTTGAGACCTTTGCAGGGAAAATTTTCAGAACCGAAAAGGATCCTCTTGTAGTTGATGTCAGAAGAGCTGATACCCTGTAGCACAAGAACTCCCTCCCACCCAACTCTTCTTCATGGCAACGTAAGGAAAAAAGTAATTCCTGTGCATATGGGGAAACGGGTGCTGGCTCAGCACTTCTGAAGTTCATGCCAACCTTATCTAAAGGGTTAGTAGTTTCCTTGGGAGGTCAACAGCCTCAGTATCTGAGTGCCATGTTCTGGTCTCCTCTTGTGGCCAAGATAACTGGGCGTCTCCAGCATCTCCAGACATCTGAGGTTTGCAGGGGAGCATTCCCCATTTATTTTCCCTCCTTGTTTTTAAGAAGTCCACCTCTTATTTTGTCGGAACAGATTTGTAATGTTTTGTCTGGAGTGGCACCTTCTCAAGACCAGTTCCTATCTTCTCTTCTGCACCAAAGGGAATACTTTCTCTAGCAGCTAAGCAGGCAGAGGGGCTTTGGCAGGGAGCAGTCCCTGGTTGGGCTGGGTAGGATGCGTGTAACAACTAACACAGGCACATATTGCACTTTGGAATAAGGCCAGTTTTGTTTTCTTGCCGTCATTTGCATGTGCCAAACTCTTATTTATAAACAGGGTATTAAACCAGACAGAGTTTAAGGAAACGTGGTTTCCTCAAACCAGCAGAGTGCCAAGCTGGCCCCAACACTGAACCACTTTTACAGCAAAAAGGAAATGTTGCATATTTTAGGCATAGGCACAGAAAGGGAAGAGTTAAATAAGGGGCAGCTGTGGGGTAGACTGTGGCCTATTGTTAGTCTTTAATGTGGAGCTAAATCCCTTATAGCTGCTCCATTGCTCTCTTTCCCTTTTCCTGCTTTCCCCCTTTCCTGTGCTTTTAGCTGGTATGGTCTTCTCCTGGGCTGGGCAGGGGCAAGAGGTTGTCCTCAAACCTACTTCTGAAGCACAGCTGTTGAAGGCTTAAAGAACTGGGCAAATTCAGGTACCAGTTTCTTGGCTTAGTGCTAGAAAGGACCTAAGGATCTTCCTCCACCCACGAATTATGGTGCAGCAGTTGGGGAAGCAAGAGATGTAAGTTTCAGTACCTCCATCTGTGCAGCAACCCTTCGCATGGACCACTAGATGTAGTCAGGAAACAAGGCTCGTGCCAGCAGCAGTGAAGTCAGAGCTTTCCTTCCCATCTGGAAGAAAGGTGCCAAATGTTACTATGAATTAGAAACAAAGTCAGTAAAAAAAAGAGTAGGAAGGGATGGGAAGAGCTGCTAAATATTATTCCTTCCTATTGCTGCCTCTCTTCCCTCCCCATCCACATCCCATCTCCTACATTTTGCTGGAGGGGAGAAGAGTTACTATCAATGCAAAGAACTTCGGAAAATGTGATTAAAAGATGAAAAAAACTAGCATCAGAATAAACTTCCTTCCTTGTTTTGAATTCCTGTTTTGCGAAAAACACTGCCCTGAAAGCCACAAAGTACTTCAGCTGCCTCTGGTAGAAGCTGAGCATAATTGGGTGGTTGAAGGTGAGAGCGGGAGCTGGAATTGAGAGCCTCAGCGTGCAAAGTGTCACCAAGCCCCTCCGTCAGAGCTCGCTCTGTTCTACTTTCTGCACCAGCTATTTCAGTGCCGTTCTGAGCGGCAAACATCCGTGTCCTTCGCTTTCTTTAATAACCATTCTTATTAAAAGCCCCTTCGGCATGTGGTACATGCTGCTTCCCTCCAGGGCATTACATTAGGGAGCAGGCGGTGTCGGTGTGTGCTAATTCATGTGGATCTGAGACCAAGAAGGTCTTTTGTACCACTTTGGAAGACGTTTGCCTGTGGTGGGTATCCCGCCTCGTGCAACGACAGAGGTTAGGAAGGGCTGGAGGGGGTTGTTGGCAGCAGGGTTGTATTTTTGCTTTTTCTTCCCCCCATACATAGCCCTTTTCATGCAGACCGTGGCCCAACCCCTTACTGCTTCTGCAAACCTCCTCGGGGAACCAGAGTGGTTGAGGACAAAGAAAAGAAACTGAAATTGCTGCTTTTAAGGGAAGTAGCAGTTCAAAAAGACCGTGTTAGAAACCAGCTCTCTGCAAACCTCCAGCAAAGCTCTGTGGGCTGCAGTTGGAGGAAGGTGCTGAGCTTCTGGGGTGGTGAGGCCCGTGACCTGAGACAGGAACTGCTGCTGCACCTGATCTACCTTCTATGGGTTTCATGACTCCCACTGCTCTGCTCTCAGATACACGTTGCACATCAGACCTATACGTTATACATATCCTGGGGTGGAGGCTGTTTCTCCCTAAAGCTCTTTACTCAGCTTTGTGTACTAGCAGAAAAATTTAAGTACAAAATCAAACTAACCATCCTTTTCCCATCCCGCTGTTTGGGGACAGCAATTGCCACTCTTAAAGGAAGAAAACAGGGTAAGAAAAGCTTCTTTAGTGCCCTTTTGTTCAAGGTCCCAGGATTATGCTGCAAACACAGCCTGAACCCTGGACTTTGGCATTATCAGCCGCTGTCATGCTGTT